CATGGCTATAATACTGAGATAACAGACAAATAGTCTTAAAGTAAATCCATCCATCCATCTTTCTACCGCTTACTCCTCCTTCAGGGTCGCGGGGAACCTGGAGCATATCCCAAGAATCATCGTGCACACAATCACATACACACTCACACACCAGGCAATTTAGACATGCCAATCAGCCTACCATGCATGTCTTTGGACTGGGGGAGGAAAATGGAGTACCCAGAGGAAACCCCCGCAGCACAGGGAGAACATGCAAACTCTGCGCACACAAATCCCCGGCAGGAATGGAGCCCCGGACCCTGGAGGTGTGAGGCGAACATGCTAACCACTTAGCCACCGTGCACCCGTCCTAGCTGGCAACCCACTGACATCACTCTAAATGCCATAAAAAAGCCATGTTTTGTGTAAAATCTCCTTTTTTTTTACTTCCACTGTAATTCAAGAAAAGGTTTATTGGAACCACTAAGGTTAAAAAGTGCTATATAAGTTCAGACCATTTACAATTCAACCATGCAAACATTCAGTAGAGATAAAACACCTTTCTAGAACAATTTATTTTCCTACTTTTAAAAATTTTTAAATTCACATCCATTGTGACCATTGTGACACATTAATAACCATACACATTACCATACCATTACCATTTTGAAAGTTAAAATTTGTCCATATCCATCTTATGTGGTGTTTTACACTATATTTATTTAGACCTAACAACATTGGATAGTATGGGGTAACAGTTTGCCCTATGTTGATTTTGTGGAACTGGACCATCACTCAGTGAATGGTATCAATCAAACTCAATCTTTATCTGAGTTTTGCATCATATCATCTACTACAGGTTGGATATGGACCCATACAGCATGTTCATTGTGGTGAAGGAGTTTGAGATTGTGGCCACTACTGTATGGATCGATACCTGTGGCTGATTTCCTCCAAAATGAAATGACTGTATCTCTATATTCAATTGATCATTTTCGGATAATTAATAATTTTTGGAGAAGTCAACTTGTAGAACCATTTAATTTTCTTCCAGGTTTCAATTGTGTGAATTTCTGCACCTGGTGAAGCCAGTTGAAATTGTTAACAGCAATATCCTCCAGCTTTGTGTTGAAATTTTCAATAATTTTGTCCCACTGTGTCAGATTTTGTTTTCTTCACCCAGTTTTTAAACTTTGTATCCCCAAACACCACATCTCACTTTTGCCAGTGTTCCCATTTTGGTCGATCATTCTGATTATACCCTGTAAACTGAATTGTGTCAAAGAAGTACATGGGACATGTTATGCTGAAGAAGATAGATGATAGGCATTTGTGGACAGTATACCCCTCTGTGCCAAGCTATCAATAAGGAGCCCCATGTACTCATGTTGCTAGCATGCACACGTATTGAGACCACTTAAGCTGGCTTCTGTGACAAAGAATAGCATGTATCATACAAACTGTCCATAACATTGTGTTCTTCTCTTTGTGCAAGTCAACAAAAGATTATGTTAGTATTCTCCTCTGTATTTTTTCTTTTCTACCAATAGCGTCTGAGTTGATTCATTTGCTTCTGGTTATGAATCTTCAGTCTCTTCATTTGTTTTATTTTTCTTTGCTTTCTTTAACTTTATGCAATGTCTGTTCCACAAAATGTCTTGGGCCTTCATTGACATCTTCATAATCAGAAGGTTGATCATGTGATTGAAGTGACTGTGAAGTTAGTTCAAGTATAGCCTTATTATCCTCGTCCCTTGCTCTACATCTCCTTTTTGACATGCTTTCTCTTTCTGCTTTCTTTTTGCTGCTGAGACTGACTTTACACTAGCTGTAACAATTTTCTTCATGCTTTTTTCTCCTGATATCTGCAGAAAATTTGCACAGGAAATAATGCACATAATCATTGTGAGTTAAGAAAGCATTTATGATCCTGAAGTAAAAAGTTTTAAAGCTTGTATCATTTAGGTTCTGCAACTCTCCCTCAACTTTCTGGTCATCTCTTTACTAGCCATTAGCTGCTGGCTCACAATCCTCCTGCCTATCCCACAAACCTCCTGCCTGGCTCTTAAACCACCTGCCAGGATCTTAAACTGACAAAGCCAAACACTGTAGGAATATTTCACTTACTATGTCCTCCAATAAGATAAGGGAGAGAAAAAGGTTAAACTGAACAAAAGGACAAATACCACTACAATGGACAATTTGCCATTATGGTAGTAGTCTAATGTAGTAGTAGTAGTAGTAGTAGTAGTAGTAGTAGTAGTAGTAATAATAATAATAATATAATAATAATAATAAACATAGCTGCAAGCATAGCTGCAAACATAGCTGCAAGTAATAATAATAATAATAATAAACATAGCTGCAATTAAGGGGCCAAGCACAAAAGAGGCTAAACGAAGGGCTAAACAAGCATGGCAGGGAGCATCAAGACCAACTGTGAAAAAGAGCCATTTTAGTGATTTGTATATAATTTTAGGAAAAATGCAATCAATTATTATATGATTTAATTGCTTATTATGTTTGAGCAATAGGTGGCACTGTGACCAAATTTGGACAATTGGTGGTGCTAAAGGGATTGAGTTAGAGACACCAAAATTGCTGTGGTTAACAATTGTTTACCATACAGTTCTATGGACTGCCATAGACTTCCAGAGCAGCAGAAGAAGAAAAACACTAATGATTACAAAAAGTGCCTATGCAACCTTCGGTGCTTGTCCCCTAATAATAAATATAGCTGCAAGCAGCAATACCAGCATCAAGCCAATTATCAGCACCATGAGAAGCAAAAGAAGTTTTGTGATATGTTTTTGGTTAGAATCCGATGAACAGTGTATGAGGAGTTAGAATTGTAAACTTTCAATGACCATGGCATAATTGCTATCATTGTTCTTGGCATGACTCAAGGAATTTAGACAATATTATTACAATAGCCAAAAGTAATCAAAAGATATTAGCATTTTTTGAAATTGCATTAGAATCTTTGACACAAGGTGGTGCTGTTTCAAAAACACAGCAGGTATCCTCAAGTTATGATGGAAATGACCTACTAAGTTTGGTCTGAATATAGCCTCATGTCCATTATGGCACTGAAGGTGTGTAAGCACTCAATGTAATCGTTAGTTCCCTTTCAAAGGGAACTCCACATTGCGTTTAGCATAAAACGTGGAGTTCCCTTTGAAAGGGAATGTCTGGGTTGCAACGCATGTAACCATGTTCCCTGAGAAGGGAACGAGACGTTGCGTAGCATTGTCATACCAAGGCAGGCCTGTGAACTGTGTCTTTGCTTCAGATAATAGAGGCTGACAGGTGCCATATATATATATATATATATATCACGCGACGCGCTTAATTGCCACGTCACCTGATCATGGCAGGCATGATTTTACACAACTTTCAGATGCTGGTTAGGCGCGAGGGCGTTACCAAGTGTTATGCTAAACGCAACGTCTCATTCCCTTCTCAGGGAACAGGGTTACATGCATAAACCCAAATGTTTTCTTATTAGGGGCCAAGCACCAAAGCTGCGCAGGCACCTGTTGTAAACCTTAGTGTTTGAGCTTTAACCTAATGGTGCATTAAGACCATTGCTGCATCCTAATTTGTCTCCTTATACTGTGCACTAAAAGTATATACTCTTTTTGTGAAAAAAAGTACATACTTTTGCGTGTGTAGCAAAAGAGTATACAAGTACTGGGACATAATAACAGTTAATGTAACCGAAGAGAATGTTGTTGCCTAGTTACGCACAGTCACTGTAAAAAACTCCTTTGCATTTCAGCTTTTCTTCATTCATTTTTCCTTATGTAATTATGTTGGCTTTACAAAGCTAACATACCGTTTTCCTGTTTCTTCTTCTTCTTCTTCTTCTTCTTCTTCTCCTTCTCTACTTCTTCTTCTTCTTCTTCTAAGACAATTAGCTTCTATATGCTACTCCTCTCAGATCATTCAAGCTCATTCACCAAACTTGGTACAGACCTTCAGTCTGTTCTGACTCGAGTTGCTATATGTTTTCTAACTGATCAGAACTTTGGTTTTCTCAGTACTGAAGCTCAAAATGGCCAAATTTCCAATATATTTCCATTCAAAACTTCTGACTGTTCTAACTCCTTCAGCTTTCAAGCTACTTCCACCAAACTCAGCACAGTCCATTTTTACTGTATTTTTTCTTACTGATTGGACTTACAGGTCTCCTTTAGCGGACAATCAAAATCTCAAAAACTCACATTCACTTATTGACAGAATGTTCAGTGCCTGACTCGGAATGTTCAAGATCTCAAACTCCAACTGTCAAAACTCACACACACCTGCGTGCACACAGCCTGAATCCTCTCTTCTCTTCTTCTCACTCTGACAATGTACCTGTAACAAAGACTCTCACTTCATCCATCTATCTATTGATGCCACACACTCTCTCCATCCATCTCTCTATCTACCAGTAGCACACATACACACACTCTCTCTCCATATTTCTTTCTAACAGTCTACTAACTCTAAAATCTATCTATCTATCTATCTATCTATCTATCTATCTATCTATCTATCTATCTATCTATCTATCTATCTATCTATCTATCTATCTATCTATCTATCTATCTATCTATCTATCTATCTATCTATCTATCTATCTAATATATTTATCTAATCAACCCTACAAGTATTGCCACTCTATCTATCTATCTATCTATCTATCTATCTATCTATCTATCTATCTATCTATCTATCTATCTATCTATCTATCTATCTATCTATCTATCTATCTAATATATTTATCTAATCAACCCTACAAGTATTGCCACTTCATCTATCTATCTATCTATCTATCTATCTATCTATCTATCTATCTATCTATCTATCTATCTATCTATCTATCTATCTATCTATCTATCTATCTATCTGCATTGGTCTGCCTTTCCATTTATCTTTCTACATTTCTCTCCATCTATCTATTTACTAGTTACACTCTATTGTTAGATAGATAGATAGATAGATAGACTTTATTGGTCCCACAATTGAAATTGTTAAATGTACAGGGGTCGAACCCGAGACCTTGTCTTTATTAGCACCACACTCTAACCAGTTGAGCTGACCGGCCAAGACAATTCTGATCGATCGATCAATCAGTCAATCAATTAAATAAATAAGTGTAATCACAAAAAGTACCTCAACATAGACATATGACACATTGAAACACTCAGCTCAATAAGGAAAATTGTGCTATGGGTATTCTGTTGATTTTACGTGACTCATCTATCTATCTATCTATCTATCTATCTATCTATCTATCTATCTATCTATCTATCTATCTGTCTGTCTGTCTGTCTGTCTGTCTGTCTGTCTGTCTGTCTGTTATATGTATCCATCTTTCTGTCTTTCTTTTGTAAAACTGCATATTACTGCCAGACTTCAAACTATTTTAAACTTTCAGACTGGCTTTGTCAAGCCAACATCAAAGTTTGTCATTACAAGCTTTACCTGTCTAGTTTATAATATATAATTTAATTTACCATTCCCTTGATTTATTTTTCCACATTTCATTTACATCTCTCTAAAATCTGTCTCCGACGTTACACTTTTCCACCATGTTTACAGGTTGAATTCGCAAAGCAAACGGTCGCAAAACTCCTCGTCCCTTGCGCAAGGAGTTGTTGGCAATATTAGCTGAAAAAATGGCCACAGATCCACACTTCGAAAATCTACCGGAAATATCTGGGTACCTTCGGGATACTCATTTCAACATACTGCGATTTGGGACACACTAATTCTAATCTTGGATGCTATTTAGGACGGATAGTAGGCAAATTGGGACGCAGCACGTGTTCTGGCGATGTCTTCTGTACTTCCTTGATGAAGACAGACCTTTCTCAGTAAAGACTGACCAAATGAATGCCTGTTTTATATTTATAAAATGTGGTCACACAAGGTAGATAACAATTATACGGACAAAATGAAATGCGTCATAATACTTCCGAGTGGGAACATGAAGGCTTGCAACCTATGGTTTTATTAAGTAAACATTGATGATATAGCATCTCTATTGGGTTGAGGTCTGGGCTCTGACTTGGCCACTCCAAAAGGCGGATTTTGTTTTTCTGAAGCCATTCTGTTGTGGACTTGCTCCGGTGTTTTGGGACGTTGTCCTGTTGCATCACCCAAGTTCTACACAGTTTCAGCTGACGTACAGACATTCTCACATTATCCTGAAGAATTGTCTGATATACTGGGGAATTCATCTTCCCCTCACTGATTGCAAGCTGGCCAGGCCCCGATGCAGCAAAGCAGGCCCAAATCATGGTGTTTCCTCCACCATACTTTAAGGTTGGGATGATGTTTTCATGATAATATTCCGTGCCCTTTCTACGCCAGATGTAGTGCTGTGTGGTTTTTCCAAATATTTCAATCTTAGTTTCAGTCCACAAAACATTTTGCCAATACTGCTGTAGAGTGTCAATGTGCTCTTTTGCAAACTTCAGGCATGCAGCAATGTTCTTTTTAGTAAGCAGTGGCTTCCTTCGTGGTGTCCTGCCATATATACCCTGCTTGTTCAATGTTTTGTGTATTGTAGACTCATGAACAGAGATGTTGGCCAGTTCCAATGATGCCTTCAAATCTTTGGCTGTCATTCGGGGTTGTTTCTTTACCTCATTGATGATTCTTCGTTGTGCTCTTGGTGTCATTTTGACTAGGTGCCCAATTCTTGGTAGAGTAGCAACAGTCCCAAAATGTCTCCATTTGTAAAATGTAAACTGGTGAATTTCTAAAGTCCTTGAAATCACTTTGTGACCCTTGCCAGCTTTATGTAAATCAACTATTCTTGATCATAGATCCTCTGAATGCTCTTTTTGGCAAGGCATGGCTCACATAAGGATGTGCTTCTTGTGCAGAGCAAACTCCAAAAGTTGGAGGGGTTTTTATCAGTCAAAGTAGCTGTAGTCGACACCTCCAAACTCATTTTCTTAACAAGACTCCAGGTGTGCAAAAAAAAGCTTTTTTGAGGTCATTAACTCAAGGGTTCACATACTTTTTCCACAAACACTATGAGGTTTTTTGGTTGTTCTCAATAAAGACATGAATGATTTTATTCACATTATATTTGTCAATACCCCTGAGTTAGATGAAATTCAGATCACATTTTATGACAAATTTATTCAGAAAACCATGAAATTCCAAAGGGTTCACATACTTTTTCTTGCCACTATGGGGCGCACAGTGGCTTAGTGGTTAGCAATTTCACCTCACACCTCCAGCGTCCGGGGTTCAATTCCTGCCGGGGCCATGTGTGTGCGAAGTTTGCGTGTTCTCCCCATGCTGCGGGGATTTCCTGTGGGTACTCCGGTTTCCTCCCCCAGTCCAAGAACATGCATGGTAGGCTGATTGGTGTGTCTAAAGTGTCCGTAGTGTATGAATGGGTGTGTGAGAGTGTATGTGATTGTGTGCCCTGCGATGGACTGGCACCCTGTCCAGGGTGTACCCTGCCTTGTGCCCGATGCTCCCTGGGATAGGCTCCAGGTTCCCTGCAACCCTGAAGAAGGAATAAGCGGTAGAAGATGGATGGATGGATGGATGGATCATGGATAAGTTCAGCATAGCTACATGAGAGAGAAAAACTTAAAATGTGTCATGAACCTAACTATGAACAATGAAAATCTGAGAGGAGGAATAAAATGTTTTTAAGAGTAAATAAAGATGCTACAAAATAAAGTGAGAAAAAAGTGTACTATAATGAGGGAAAAGCTAGATTGTAAAAAAAAAAGAAAAGAAAAAGAAAGAACAAAATGTAGAGGGAACTTGAATAAACCTGGTGAAAAATTCTGGAGGGAGAGCATTTGTATCTAAAACTCACCAGTGTATATATGCATCATATACGAGATGAATGAGAAGTAGTGTGTGCCATCTATCTGTGGCGAAAATGTAAGCACCAATTAGCTTAGCGTAGCTTAGCTTATGGCCTCCTTGGCCACTGCCTCCATGTTTTTCTGGTCCAGCTTGGCGCTGATTGCCTCGCTCCTTCTGCTAGCGAGCATTGGAGGTTATGGATCACATGCGCATAACAGTCTTCACTACCATTGGTAGTTGCAACACCACGTCACTCCACATTTGCATAAGCTTAAACTTTTCTCAACTTAATTACTGTAATTGGGATATTCTAATTTCTAAAGAGTTTATGTCCTCAGAGAACTCGTAATTACAACTTGTAAACTAGATGTTGGCTTGACAAACCAGTCTGAAACTGTATAATCAGTCTGAAATATGAAGGTAATGTGCAGTTTTAAGAAAGAAAGACAGATAGATAGGGTGCCAATACGTGTAGAGTTGATTAGATAGATAGATAGATAGATAGATAGATAGATAGATAGATAGATAGATAGATAGATAGATAGATAGATGAAGTGAGATTCTCTGTCACAAGTATATTTACAGAGTGACAGAAGACAGGCTTCAGGCTGTGTGCACGCAAGAGTTTTGACAGTTGGAGTTTAAAATCTTGAACATTCCGAGCCAGGCTCTGAACATTGTGTTGATTTTAAAATCCTTATGCTCACATTTAAGGCACTGCATGGTCTGGCCTCTCAGTGTCTGTCTGTGCTTTTAACGTTATATACTCCCAAGCATCATTTGCACTCCTCTCAAACTGGTTTACTGGCTGTCTCACAGACACGCTTGCTATCTGTAGGGGACAGGGCTTTCTCGTCCTATGCTCCTAAACTTTGGAATGCACTCCCTACTCACTTTAGAGATGCACAGAATTTGAGAATTTTGAAATCTAACTTTAATCCATTTTTTTAGGTTAGCTTTTTCTTAATGGTTTTAACCATTTTGTATTCAAGTTTGTTTTTTTGTTTTTGTATGTTTTGTAGGAATAAGTGTTCTCCCCATGCTGCGGGGGTTTCCTTTGGGTACTCCGGTTTCCTCCCCCAGTCCAAAAACATGCATGGTAGGCTGATTGGCGTGTCTAAAGTGTCTGTAGTGTATGAATGGGTGTGTGAGTGTGTATGTGATTGTGCCCTGCGATGGACTGGCACCTTGTCCAGGGTGTACCCCGCCTTGTGCCCGATGCTCCCTGGGATAGGCTCCAGGTTCCCCCGTGACCCTGAAGAAGGAGTAAGCGGTAGAAGATGGATGGATGGATATCATATATATATATATATATATATATATATATATATATATATATATATATATATATATATATATATATATATATATATAAAATAATATAGAATGTGCATACATACAATTTATATAAATGTGTCTGTGTGCCAGATTGTATACAGGGATGCAGTGCACCGCCAGAAGGTTGGTTTGTTGTGACACCTCTTGAGGCGCAAGCTCCAGGAAGGTGTTAAAGATGATTTGTTGATTCGTGCAGGGACTCATCGTCGCACCATTTGGTGCTCTTGAGATGATGACTGTGTATGTGTGTATAAACTCGTAGGGATAAAAATGTAGGAGGGAAAAAGAAAGAGAAGAGGAGGAGGAAGAGGTGGAGATCGTGTTGGAATTTGATTCGTACTCAGTAGTGTGGTCTGATCCAAAATCATCAACCTCTCCCCTCTCAGGAGAATTTCTGCGTGGTTCCCAGATTGAGAATCTCAAGTCACACTTTTTAAATACATTCTGCTTTCAGACTGAATTAAATACTCATGTACACATGAAAACATGTACATGCAGCACATAAATGTGTGACACCAAAGCCACCATGGATAGTCACCATGGACAGTCACTTTACATCTACACTCACTGTTTCATTTCTGGATATGTATCTGCTGCTTAAATCTATTTAACAATACTGTGTGTATAAGGATTGGTATAGAAAAAAGGCTGGATAAATATAATATATTTATATGTTTTACATTTTTTTTATATATACATTCCACCCAAAAAATGGGTGCGTTCAAACAAAAGGTATCATGTTCTTAGTTGTTTAACACATCTACCGTAATTCTTGGACTATTGAGCACACCTGAATATAAGCCGCACTCGCTAATTTTAAGAAAAACTATTTTGTACATAAATAGGCCGCACTTCTCTATAAGCCGCAGGTGTCCACGTTGTAACTGTCACGATTCGTGACGTAAATGAAGGACAGATGCAA